TAGAGAATGGCCTGGTTTATGCTTGTTCCCACCCCTCTGGGGTTATGGAAATAAGACAGAAAATCCCATTTTCTATTTTTGTGGTTGCAAAAATATATTGTTATAGAATTCTGCTTTTTCAGCATTATTCTTCCAGAATGAAAGGAGGTTGGGTGGCCAGCTGTGGGTGGTGCAGGTGGCCATAGGCTACTGCTGAAGTACAGCCTCAAGACCATAACATTTATAGCTCCATCCACCCCATAAGTGTGGTTGGCTATCTTCAAAGAGAAAAATAGTATCAGATTTTGTAAGACAGATTGAATACTCTCAAGTGTTGTACATGTGTTCCAATTGCTAAATGTCACTAGAGATGCCTACCAGTCAAGACACTATCAGATGACCATGGAACAGCCAATATGCTTATTCTGCTCTGGAATATTTCAAGCTTGAAAAGCTATTTTTTAAAATAGAAAACATAAATCCTCCAAAGCTGATGCTGAGCATAATCTTCCTTCTGAAATTAAACAAAAGGTACTCTTGTCTTCTTTATAGTCTCCATTGTAAAGAGAGGATCCCAATGAGGACAGTGATTTTGGCTCAGAAATACCAGTGTAGAGTAATAAAAATGTATTCTACCATGTGGAATATTTTTATATAGGCATTGTTCCACAGACTTTCAAATGTTTTGTATGCCTGTGAAAAATACAATGCCCTGCTCTACCTAGCCAAGAAGCACAAGACTCCATCTTATTGACTGAGGGATGTCAGCAGTAAGCATATTAATACTTATTCACACATACAGTGTTTTTCTTATGGCAGTCTGACATTAACTACCCTGGGGAAAATCTTAGGGTATTCCTAGTGAAATGGCACAAAATAAATCTAATTTTTAATGGAAGCTTAGATCTCTCCAGAGCCCTTTTTTCGTCCTGAGGTTTTAGCCATGCAGGATGGAGCCCATTAAACAGAAGAGCAGTGAAACAATGCTGCAGAACAGCACATGTTTACTCATTAATGAGAAGTTCTATTATAAAACTGGACATTTCTTGCGGGGTGGAATCTTTTCATTCTTGGTTTTGGAGAAAGGTGTGGGGGGGGAGACAGCAGAAGGAGAGGAGGAGGAATCCTTTAATTGTTAGAGCAGGTTTTAAACTGACAAGCCTCAAAGGCAGAATACTGACTCTTTGATCTTAAAAGGGTTGTAAAAGGATGGTTTCACTTGTGTTTATTCAAATATTTGCAGGTAAACGCTGATAATCTAAACTGAGTCAAAGCTGCAGAATTTAGCATAAGCAGTTTGCATATCAAGAGCCTCAAATACCAATTCAGAGATCTTAAATGTTGTCAAAAACTAATCATAACTTGATATTAACTTGGGGCTTTCCTATGTATGGAAGTCTGTGCTCAGGAAATGGAATCATTCATTGGCAACCAATAGTCTAACAGATGTGCTTCAGCCACACAGAGAGGACTGTGTGGTAGCAGTAGCTACATGCAGTCACATACCTGGTGGTTTGGGGCATATCAAGAGCAAGAGGGCAACCTGTCAGGGCAGAGAAGAGCTGATCTGATACGCTGTGCATCCTCACCACCAGCCATTATCCACTGGAGACATTCTTTGGAAACAGCCTGTAGCTGATCCTAGTTAATAGCTGAGAGAACTGCTTCTAGTGAGTGCTCTTGTAGACAACTTGCATTTTGCTGTTTCTGGGCCAAGTTGTTAATTCTTGAATTACTGGATTCTTGACAAGTTTTTTGCTATTTGTAATTATTTGTATTTCAAGTAAAGGTATCACAGTTTCTAAATTACTTGATTGTCTTCAAAATCTATTTTTAGCACTTAGTTTCTGCTACTCATCTTACAGCTAATGATTTCTTGGCATAATTTGGTGCCTGTTAGTTGACTGAAGGAATGTACATCCTGCATGAGCACTGTGTGACCTGTTTGGAAGTACAGATCCTTCATACTTCCTTTCCAAAAGTCAACAAAAACGATCCCTGTTTTGGAGGTCTACTGTTGCACAAATGCTGTGCACTGATGAAAAGATACTATTAATTAGCACTTATCAAGTCAGATCATGTTTACTGCCCAACTTAATAATGTAAAATAAAAAGTTTCAGGCTCATGATTCCCTTGAGGAAGTGTTTAGGACATCATCATGTACAAAATAGACTTAGGAAATCATTTCAATTTGTGCAAAAATTTGCAAACTGCGCCTTTTAGTCTGACCTGATATCTCATTGTGTGGGAAGAGTAGCTGATTACAGTGCTACAGAGATAGGTCAGAACTTCTATTGTACATTTCTGTGCATTGCCCATTTGCTTCTTACAGGGACAAAAGAGATCTGTATGACTAAGGCCCGTTCTGGGCACTAGAAATATATTAATGACAGGCTCCCACATAAGGAAAAATTAGCAACAGGCATCTGGCTTTTTCACCTAGTCATTGCTTACTCAATTCCCTCTTCAGCTGTTTGTCATGTACAAGATCTTTCTACTTTGATTGCCGCAGGGTGGCGTGTGCAAAGTTTGAGCTTGTGACATTACAGGTTTTTCTTCAGGGAATAAAAATTGTGTGTTATCAATCAATACAGGAACTTAGTAAATCGTAGATGGTGAGTGTAAGTTTCAGTTCTCTATAACTTGGTCTCCATGAAAAGTAAATAAATGTCTTCCAGATCATGGGTGTTGGGCTAAGATTTGCATAGGAAATTAGGCATTGAATAGGAAATTAGCTACCTTTTTAAAGACCTAAGTCTTAAGAAGCATGATTAGAGTTGTATTTATATCTAATGTTCTGAGTTAAAGTTTGCTGCTAGTACAGTCACATTAAGCCATAATTGTATTTGAAATTATTTAGAATAAGAAGACCTTTGAGTAAAGAGTAGGCTCTTTTTAGTTCAGTAATTCAAGAAAAAAAGTAATTGTTGGACAGGGTAGGAAAGCAATTTTTAAGAGTTTGTGGAAATTCTCCCTCCGATTAGAAGAGGAGACTAAAATTATTTTATCTGAAGGAAGGTCTGCCAGCACTGGGAGAAGCCAGAGTGCTAACAGAAGCACTCAGCACTTACCTAACACCAGCCCTGCCCTCTGATGACGGTACTAAATTCCGACATTCAGAAAAACTTCTCTGCTGGTGTTACCATAGTTCCCTGAGCTCAGCACCTGCAATCCAGCTGCCTCCCCACTGCGATGACTCATTGACATTTCAGCACTCCACTTCGTCCACCTTATTGACTCTCCAGCTTCCTGCCTTATTGCTTTATTCTCTGGTTCTCTGCACACTTTTCTGAGTCCATCCTACCCATCTTTTAGTAGTTAGATGTCCACAGCTCATCTGACTCCAAATTTTTCATTTGCCTTATAGGATGTCTTACTATAGCTTTCCCACTGCTCTCCCCATACCTCTTTTCTTCCTTCCCAGCTCTTGTCCACAGAACACACCTAGAGTGGTTTGAATATCTGGATGTTACCCCAAGTTATTATTCTTGCAAACACAATATTAAGTAGTCAGCAAGTAGTCATAGCTGGTCATTAACAACAGTCAGTGTAACCCTGTTCCTGTCTGACCTTTCATTTTCTTTTCCTTCTTTTTTTTTTTTTTTTGAGTGTTTTCTTCTTGCAAAACCTAACACAGACTTCCAAAGTAGAATTAATCTGGTGTATGATTTAAGTAAGATCAGATTCTGGGTGGAAGTGTCTTCACAGTAGTAGGAAGACTATTAGATATTACATGCGATTAATTTATATCAATGAGAGTGACTAGTTATAATGCAGTAGCTTGTTTTGTTTCTTGCTAATAAGGAATTGTAGGCTTAATACATGCCTATATAAGAATATGATCTTTTGACAGATTATTTTACATATCACAGTATAGTAAATTTTATTTCAGCTGCAGTGTAATTCTGTATTCCATTAAGTTCCATCTGTGAAATACCCAAAATCTCAATTTCTAATACTTTAAGAATTCTGAACACCTCAAGAAATTCTGCTCATGAGTCTTAATGACAGTTCTTGGACTAAATACAAATGTGTGAAGAATATGAATAGCCACTTGCTGGCTGTTCAGTCTCACTAAATGTAAGTGAATTTATCATGATATGGACCTTGGAAGATTTAGTCCCATGTACCAAGTCTTGGGGGATTTCAACAAAATCTTAGGCTTTTGATCCTGCTGGTGAATGATCATCTTAAATACATAAGTAATTCAACTGACTTATCTGGGACTGCTCAAGCCCCTAAACTTGATAGCACAGTTGTAGGATCATGGCCTTAACATGGGGGAGAAATACTTCTGTGCGGATTTATTTCAGTTCGGAAGTATTGTAATTATAAGTCCTTGTGAATGAAACTAAGACTGTATCACCAGGTTTATGGCATTGCTTCACTTTACAGTCACTGTCATAAACCTCAGATTAGTATGGTTCCACTGTGTATACTTTGCACATTCTTTCCTAAGAATAAGTTTATGATAAGCTATTTTCTCTCTTTTTTCCATAACAGTTTTTGTTACATGATTTCCAAATTTTAATGCCTAATATGATCTTTGAAAAGCTATAAACTTTTAACAGACTTTAACCATAAAGTGAGTGAATAAATTGCCAGGGAGCCTATGGTTTGATCCCAGGAAATCCTGATTAATAGCCTTTAGTGTTTTTTCAGACCACCCGGAATACATTGTGAAAAACAGTTGAGTCATTTTATGGCCATTTAGACTGTAATTCAAGCTACTAAATTTATAACATTTTTTTTTAAACTCTAAATGAAGACATAAGTATTTATATTTATTCATATAAGAGCATATGCTGAACACATTTCTTGCTCTGTTTAGTTTAGTCTTGCAAATGTGTAATTCTATATTTTTGCTAACAACATAAAATCTATTTAGGATATAAAAAGAGCCTAATCCAAACTTGCTGTAATTAATGAGAAAGTTATTGTATTCATAATATTCCTATTGAATTTCATTGATCAGAACTTGTACATTTAAAAGTGGAACTAATTTTCATGCATGTTTTAGGAACCTTCTCAATAACATTTTTCAGAGGAAGTGGAAAATGTAAAATAATTTTGCAAGATAATTTGTCAGGTAATCCTTTTTCTCTTTATTTAATGTGTGGTTTATTAAAACTGTTTTAAGAACATGGTAGATGCATTTTATTCTTTGTTAGTTGTAATATCAATCAAAAGAAAGGTATACTTACTGTTGTTTTAAATCTTGACATTACTAGTCAAGGTCAAAGCATAGAGATAACTGGGTCATTTTGGCTTAATAACTTGGGAATCTTTGGTGCTGATCACCTTACAGAAACAATTCCTTCATAGACTATATTTCCAGAAACTTGAATGGGTGTTGATTCTGAAATGGGTCTGGACAAAGGTGGTCAAATATGGCCTGTGGTACGAAACTGCTCTGTCTATATAGAAGAGGTTTTCATCTACATGTGCTGTGTTCATGTGCACATACAGAGAGGCTGGATTTTTTCTTATTAAACATGGGATTCTTTTGATCATAGAATTAACAATAATAACATAGATGTAAAAGAAAAGAAACAATCTTCTACAATGCTACTACAGAAAGCTGGTTATTGAAAAATAATTTTCATATTGTGCAAAATTTAACAAATTCCATTGAGCATTAAAGAAAACATATATAAACCTCTGATAGTTAAGTAGCTGAAATAGAATATATTTGCATTGTCTTTGCAATATGCTCAGATTTGCTTCTATTTTCAAGTAGAAATAAATGATTTTCCACATAATAGAAAATTGAGTTTAGTATTTCTAAAATGCTCCTAACATAGAGAAAGGAACCACATTCTAATACTAGTGCTTATCGCAGCATTTAAGGCATCACCATCCCCCCTCAAGCTTTCTATTCTTAAATAGAAAAGGAAAAATCGTATTGTTTTCCTAGGTTCACTTTGCCTCTAGTGATTGATGTAGAATTTTACTGCCATCCAATGGCAAGGACCTATTATAGCCTAAGTAAATGCCTAATGGTTTTTGATCAAATTGCAGCCTAGGGAATTTAACTTATGTAGTACACTTAGAACTTACATCAATACATCTCTGTTCGTTACACAGTGAGAAAGAAATATGACTACAGTTTCAATTTATTCTGTTTCTTAATTCAATTTTACCCTGAATTACTAATATTGTGGTACATAATTACCTAAATGAATAAATCAACCTAAGCTACTCACTAAAAAGAACATTAGTGTATAATATTAATTTTTGTGTGTACCTTGTCATGTTGGTTTAAAAGATCCCTTTCTTTACAGTTAAGAGCTTTTTCCTAGTTGGCAGAATATCTTTTTGCTAAAATATTCTTCTCTCTTTTCCTTATCATGTCTGGAGACTTTGCAGTTATTGTGCACTAAAGAACTGCTTTATGACTCTTGAATGTGTTATAGGTGTTTTTTGTGCATTTTTTTTTTCCTTTTTACTCACACACAAACTCCTTAGAAAGACAACTGCTTAAAGCTATGATCTGGAATATATGGATTTTGGTATACTTTTATTCTCTATGCTTTTCAGATTGAGCTTTGACTGGCTGTTCAAACTAACAGTCATTTTTTGGGGTTCTAAGAAGCAGTCTAGCATTAACACTTTTTTTTTCAAGTATTTATTTTAGAGGGGAAAAAATATAGATACATCTAAAGGAAACAACTTCAGATGGGCAAGGACATTGAGCAAAGCCTCCATCTTGTACTGCAAACAAAAAATTGCCAAAATTAGTGTCTGATAAAGAAAAAAGTCCTATCATAATTGAGGAAAATCTAAATTTAGAATAAAAGTAAAAATAAGTAACACAGGAAAAGAATACGCTGTTATTTCTATTGTTTCATTCTAGCTGTAAGACACCTCATGTACTATCACTTCATTAGGATTGATCTCTGCTGTCTGCTAAAGCAAATGGACACACTTCCAGTGACATAAAAGAGACCTAAACCATGTCCCAGTCATACATTTGTATCTGCTGCATGGATGACTACATGTTGTCCCAAGTGTATTTCAATTCAAACATTTGTAAAAACATTTTTTTGGCTTCTCACAAAGATGCAACCAGTGAATATCTACTTTAAGCACCACAACATTTAGGAACACTTTGTTAAATGTTCTGTTGATCTGTTGCCATTATTTAAATTCTTTTTAGCAGCTCTGTCCACAATCACTGACTGTAAACATAGCTGTACAGAAAGATTAATCTTTGATTAAACTGCATCATTAACCTGGAGCACTCTACAGCCTCTAAAATTATTGGAGATCAAAAAAGAAACAGAATATAGCACAAAGTCCCAGAAGACTCCAACATATGCCTTATTTATCTATGCCTTAGACAAATTCTACAGCTACAAAAACAATTACAAAATGAAAACTTTCCTTCTATAACTGAAATACATTGATGCTAATAATAACAAAGTGTTTGGGGTTCATGTGCAGAGAAATGAGCAGAATGAGTAAAACCATCAATATTAAAATGGATATGTGTATGCTATTTGCTACTTTGGCGCTTTAATTCTAAAAAGATGGGTGCAATAGAAAAGTACACAGAGAAAATGAGAATCATAGAAAGTAAGATATTGGTATTATTGTATTTTTTTCTGTAATTAATATCAGGACACCACAACTGCACTTGGAAAACACAGCTCACTTCTCGTATTGCTATATTAGTAATTGACTGGAAAATGAGTGAAAATTTTCTCTACACTTTCACATTTGAAAATTGAAGTTTTATGCAATGTTGATGTTCATAATCTTTAAAACTGGTAGAAAATAGGTGTAGGTTGTCAGGGTATCTCGACATGCAGATATGTTTGGTTTCCTCCCTCAGAATTTAGATTGTCTAAGAGCACCAGTCTCAGAAAAGCAGTGTAGGTGGGTACAGCGCATGGGTTCCTTCTAGGGAATATCCCTTTATTGTTAGCTAAGTGGCTAACTCATTTTTGAAAATGTTCTTATTGCTATAGTTCTGAATGTTTTTCCAATATGTGCTTATGTAAATTTATCAAGTGAAATCCGTTTTAAATTAATTTGTGCAGTTTTAATACTCCAAGTCAATATGTCTTTCACAAAGTAGATACTTTCTTCTGTTCCTCAAAAGTCACTTTATCAGTTTCCATAAATGAATGGGAGAAAAAACTTTATTTCAACCAATTCTTGTTTCACGTTTTGAATAATAGGTTGGTTTCGTTTTTTTTTGTTTTCTTCTCTGTGCTTTGAAGGGAAAGTCTGTGTGACAGTTAACAAAGCTGCCCTGACTTTGTAGCCCACATTTTATGAGACATGAGATAACATGCTCTCTGCATGGGTCTCCATGAGTTCAGCTGGCCACAGAACATAGGCAGGCTTCAGGAAATGGAGACTTCTCCCCGACTTCTGCACACAGATGTGTATCTGCTAGTGGGGGGCACCACAGATCACAGGCATAGCACAAAGAGGGTGTTTGGGAGCTGGTTGAAGTGTGCTTAGGCGGATTTTGGGCTATACCATTGCTCTTGTGTCCCTGCCAACACAAGCAGAGCTGGTAAAGTGGAGACCATGGAGAATACAGCCTGTAGTATTTGTAATGAGCTACAGTTGCCTCTGCTCAGCTATTTCTCCACTGCAGGAAATATCGGCAGTCTATCCATCCATGACTTGTTTTGGCCAAGAGAGGAGGGGAGCCTTTGTGGTGACATGAGGTGGCACATGTAGCCCTGTCACCAGCAAGAGGGAGCACCCAGCCACCACCCCGGAAGAACTTTCTGCTCATCACCACCCTCCTTTCATTCTCCTGAAATGTTAATGCATATTCAAACAATACACGAAAATAGCTGGAAGACAAACCACCACCGAATCGCCAGCCCTCATTCCTGAATAAGCCGCTCACAGTCAATTGCCTTTTTCCTAGTTTAATTTTCTTTGTGCATATTATAATGCTCTGTGTGCTCAGTGACAATCACTACGGTGAAGCTGCATTTCATTTCCTCTGACCACTAAAACTGTGATCTGCTTTACTTGCCTGAAACAAGTATCATGCACAGATTTTAATTATTTAGTCATGATTTAGCATGCATGATATATGGGTATCATTACCAATGGCTGCAATATCTCTTGGCTATTTAACATGAGGAAGATGCTCTTTGTTATTAACATCTGTTCATCAGGGACACAGACCTTCTCAGCATTACTAGCACCTTCTGTTTTTGTCAGGAGAAGGGAAAGTGATCAAGAGCCTCATCAGAGCCTAATTTGGCACTGATGTGTTTTCCTTTCTCTTAGCATAGCCTAGATCTAAATTGTCCCTTAAAATTACAGCAGCTTTTAAAATACTGCTCAATAACTAGATCTGACTAGGCGTAGACTAAGATGGTACAGATAGAAATCTAACATTATTTAAATGTTATGGTTGTGTGTGGGCTAAAAGATGAAAAATAAGTTCATAAAAGACGTGGTGGAATTAGAAAATAAGATTAGTGAATTGCTTTAGCCATGAAACCATCTTCTAGTTATGAAAAAATGGCTAATCTTATTTTTCCCCCACTAAGCTCATTCTAGATTTGATGCAGCCCAGTAAAGGCCTCACAGCAGAAATGTCCCCGTCGCATTTACTTTGTTATTATAGCAGACATTTTATTAAGCCTTTTAAGGACATATCTTCAGTTCACAGTAAAACAAGGCTCTGGTTCTTTGCTGTTTTTCTCCAGTGAGTTTACAGCAAAGGCCCCGAGCCATTTGTAGGAGGGTGTCTCTGCTAGGCTGCTTTCCAGGTGGGTTCAACCTGAAGGGATGGATGTACTTTGAGGAAAGACTGCACTTGAACCTTTTTGCAGATCCCTCTTAAAGCAAAGGTAAACAAAAAAAGGGATTTCTAAGAAAGCATTCGATCCTGTAAGTGCTGCCAATACCAACTGAATATAAAAATGTTTGTGCTCCAGACTATTATCTTATTTCTACCTAAAAGCATCAAAATCTGATCATGTAGATAAAAGAGTAATCTTCTCATGAATATACTGTACATGATTAAAACTCCAGCTCCCTATGGTTTAGACCTGGAAGACATTTTAATTATCTATCTAACATCTTGCTATTTCTGAAATTTTGACTGCAAATGTTTCTGACATAGTGTTTCATGGAGTATCCTTTCCTCATACTGTGCTTTTTTTATGCTCCAGATGTACAGTAAACAACAAAAGCTTGTTTTATCTTTTACTCTCCATCAGATGAAAGTGAAAGATAACTGAAAGAAAAAAACCCACTTTTAAAGAGTATGTTTTAATCATAGATACCCTGCTTATAATCTAAAAGTCCCGTAACAATCTCAAATGTGCTTTACCAAATAGACCCAAGCTACACAGAACTGGAAAACCCAAACATTAACACTACTGTAAATAAATAAATTAATAAAAAATCAGCAAAGAAAAACCTCACCACTTTCTCATTTTGCCAGGCAAAAATAGTAAAAATTTTGCACACAATTATTTTTTTAACCAATTTTAACAAACCAGTACCATCCTATCAAAAACTAACAACACAGAAAAAAAAATTGCCATGATAATCATAAGCATGTTTTTTGATTCTGAGTATATAAGTAAGAGCAACTCAAATGCCAGTGTGATTTTCCAAATGTAATGCAGCCTACAGGGTAATACTTCTACTAATAATTTGTGAGAACCTAAATGTAACATATGAAAGGCAGATACCAAGTTTACAGTGAAATGCTTTTAAAGTTTATATTAGAGTGACCACATAAATAGTTTTAAAGCATGGGGTTATTATATATTCTGAATGAGAAATATGAAGTAACTTGGACAGACTCAATCTGTGCTGAATGCTTGAGGGTTTTCTAAAATTGCCATATCACTTTAAGCTAGAGTAATGGCCTGATTGTTTAATATACTTAAAATACTGTCAAATACTTTCTCAAATTTCCTAGATTTGTCCCTGAGTTTAACTGATATGAAGCAAATGGCTGGTAACTTTCAAACCAGGTTTTGACCCATAGAAAATGTCTACACTATGAAAATGTATGCAGTAATAGGATGTGTGAGCTGGTGAAGATTTTAGCTTGCAAGGCAGTACTGTGCTCTGTAGCTTGTCTAAGCAGGGTTTAACTTTGTTACCCAAGGAGTATTCGCTGCTGCATTTGGCAGCCTCTCACAGGATGTGCTAGCTGAAGCACAGCAGCATGAAAACATGCCTGGCATCTGAGCCAGTCTTTGTGGCAGCTGGCGCCCAGACCTGTGCCAGCACGGGCTGTGTTTTGTGACACTTCAGTGTTGCTGTGTCTGTTATCTTCAGTCAGGTGAATAGCAAATTCATGATTTGGAAACATATTTGTAAAAGAAGTCTCTGAACTAGGGATGTGGTTTGTGAGATAGGTCTATAAATATGACCTTTTCACATGAGAAGAAGAAAACCAAAGAAAAATGAACTAGTGAATTCATATGTACTTTGTAAAACTGGATTAACCACTTTGATGATAATGTAGTTTGTGCACAATATGTACTTCTATAAATTAATCAATTGATTCTTACATCCATAACCTCATGTTGAGCAGGCATGTATCTTTAGAAAACCTGCTTTTTAAAAAAGCAGTTATGTCAAACTCGTTTTATATGATGGTCTTGATCTGATATTCTGGTGCTCGGTACCAAATGTGTTCAGCAGAAGTTATTAAGTTAAGCACTATTAATAGAAAAATAAGCTCTATTGTTATTCTATTTGCATTGTTAACCAATAGGTGCCTGTTAATAACTCTAGCAGGGAGACCTGGGGGGAAATGATTGCTATATCTTTTTGCTGCTGCCTCTTTTATGCTCACCTGAATAAAAATGGGACTTCAGAGGCTGATGTGATCAGCTTGAATTGTGACTTAGTTGTGCCATGGGTGAAGGGGCACCCTAGGGCCTCCTGCGTGTATTACCTCAAGCACAGCAACACAGACACTGCTCTCAGAAGCAGGCAAGTGCAGCTGGTCTCCTGCACATAAGGCCTCTATGCCTGCTAGATCTATGATGGCTGCATGTATGCTTAGCTCCAGGGTTGTCTGGCTGTGTTTCCAGAGAAGGAGGTATAGGAAAGATAAGTAATCTCAAAGCCAGTCAGATCCAGCTGGGGTCTGCTAAGTCAACACAGGTTGTGCTCATTGAACTAAACATGTGGAAATCCTCTTTTGGCAGCAGCCAGATTTCAAAAGGGCTTTTTTGGATAGGTATATTACTGTATTAATGCATGGACCCATTAATATCTAACACTGACTTTAATATAATGAACTCTGGGAAACCAGGTGCTTAGAGCATAATGCAGGTATATCAAACAGCTCTGCATGAGCCAGTTTGATACAGCAAAACTCATGCCGTTTTGGAGTTAATCAGTTAGTCTAACTGAACCAAGGCTGATTTTTCACAGAGATGGCAAGATACATGTGTACTGTGCTGGGTTTGAATTTTTTAACACTTTTCTTCTGTGGACTTTTGCACCAACAATAACCAAGTTCCTCATTCTCAGAGAATGAAGT